GTGGCCAAATAAGTTCAAGCAAGACTTGTTTTCTAGTTCCCACAACATAGTATCTTCTTAGAACAGTAAAGTATCTTGTTGCTACAAGCAAGGTTTTTGTTCACGACCCATGAGATGACATTATTCAGGGTATAGAAAGGAGTCCTTAATTTCTGTATTAAATTTGTAGGGCCTTTATCTTTATCTTTGAAAATAACGTTTATACAGTAAAATTCCCAAGAAAATGATTTTACTATCAATATTTTCTGTAATTAGATGATTTATTTAATTCTGTACACCTTTCATTTCTGTAATCAGTATTGTATTAACTACCTCTTTTATTTTCACAGTTATTCTTTATACTTTTCACCCCATTATTCTCTATTCTTTATATTTTTGCTCATTTTTCTCTATTCATTATTTTTGGGGGCCATTATTCTCTATTCTGCCAACCCCATCCAGACCCTCATTATTTCCCCACAGGATGCTGTTAATTTTAAGAATGTACTTGCTATTTCAAGATCTGTCAAAAATTGTTCCGTACAGTCAGGGAAATGAACAAATAGAAAATTTATGAAAATTCAGTTGAATAATAAAAATTAACCAATTTTAGTTTGGTGTCACAGCATTTAGATAGTAATAATATTTTACACGAAAATATATTTCATGGTTCAGTGGATCTCCATATTCAGCCAGAGAATATTTTGTAAGTGTCGCAGAGGAAGACTAGGTTGGGCTAGATTTTATTTCTTAAGATACATTGTTTATATGTTTGTTATATTTGATAAAGTTGTTTGTGATATCTGCAGTCATAAGTATGGATTGTTTTTGCATTTCTTAAACGATGTTTCTGATGCCATCATGTTAAAAATTTACGATTTTTGTGGACAGATAAAATGCAGCATTTCGTAACGTTTAAGTCGATGCTCCATTTGTTTGCTAACTTTCCAATTTCTTTGGGTCTGCTGGAACATGTAGTTGTATGGCCTCCTTCCTGTGTAATCGTCCCGTACAGAAAGAAAAAAAATGCTTTAGTGCTGTCCTTGGTTCATAAGGGTCTACTGCGGTTTCAATTGATTTCTCTCCCTTTTGTTCGAATATATCTAGTAAGTCAGAAAATTGGAAAGTCATTTATAAACATTTCCTTGTTTTTCATACCGATGTATTTCTATAAGAGCTGGGTCACGAGATACTGTGTACGATGCTTTGGAGAAGTCTATTATGATGATACCTACGTGATAGCCTGTCATTTAATGTTGCTAATTAATTGGGTCATACATGAGTGGTTCTATCTCAAACTATCACTAAAAATGTATATGATTGTAAAAATAAAAAGTTCAAACTCCCGCAAGGAAAGTACAATAAAATATTTTTTTTTGGTCGCGAATTTATCAAATTTGGCTGTTCAAACGGTTTTGGACTACCATAGCCAAATTTAGTGTTTGACGTTTTTGACTATTACTTTTAGGCTCTGTTTGCATTTATCAAAATAACAGCACTTGGTCAGTGCTTCACAATTAACCTTTCTATCATGTTTGATGTTTTTGATTGGTTCCAAAAAATAAGAAAATTATTTTTTTTAATTTTCCATAGTTAGTTTGAGTTAATGGTTACGTAGTATATTGAAGTTCATTAAATATTTCATAAGTACGGGTATAAAACAGACGACCATAGGAATGAGTACAATCAGAAAAGTTAACATATCTGATTATACCCAAACAATTCCAAGTAAGTCAAGAAGGGGCAGGTGACAATAGGAAAACCTAAATCATCCTGTCTGAGTCCGTCAGTTAAGCTTCATGCTATTCCAGATAATCATAATTCCATAAGTCTGAAATAATTTATTATGAAAAGATAATATTGTCCTATGACATTTTTCTTATTATCATAAAGAAAGGGTAACTGGGGAATAGAACTATGGTCACTTTTGGTCTTCTTCCGACCAGCAGTAAAACCCTTGCCAAAGTGGGACGTCCGTTGGCTGTGCGGGATGTATAAAGTCCCAGCACGTCCAGTCAAAATGGGGATGTTAAATCCAATGCCTCGTGTATGCAGAGTGCCACACTCTCTGCACGTTACGAAGTCTTGAAAAAACTTTTTTAGGGTCCGTAGGCGGCCTGTTGCTAGGCTTAATTTCTGTCCATACCCGATTTACCCTCATTTTCCAGTTGCAGACGGAGTTAAAATCTCGCCCCCCCTTTTTCAGACCAGTCATCCCCTTTAACAAGACTTACTTATCGTACATATTTTAATTTGCTCTCGTCCTGTACATGCAGGAAATATTTGCCACTGGACATTAAGCAACCAACAATCAATCTATCATATTAATGCAAACCAAAAGGTGATCATGTTAGGTTCGTCTTTCCATCCCACTTCTATATCTGCAACTAAACAAGGATTTGTATATACACTATACAAATCCTTGAGCTAAACAACGACTGATCGTTTAAATCATTTAAACAAGTTTACGAACAACTTAGAAACAACTTACGATTAAAAGATTAAAAGTCTCAGTACAGCCAAAAAATAGAAAGACTACCATATCCAGAACAGTTTTCTTTAGAACTTGACACTTGTGTGGCTATTTTGTTCAATGAGGCCCACTATAGACATCGCAGGCTACATCAAGTTAAACCTATTAGCATCTTTGGGTCTTGCAGGTCATGGACTAGGACAAAAATCCTGAAAATTGACGTTTTCCCATTTTTTTCATGATATAACATCTTTGGGCAGAGACATAGGTCTCCTTGCTATCTCCCCCGATTTCGTGATCACCTTTGTTAGCTTTATTGTTATTAGTGAGCATCAGCAACAATGTTTAGCTCATTTGTGCATCATTTCAAATAAATTAAAAATACCATTTAAAAAACAAGGATTGAGGGGGGACCTCTAAAAGTTAAAAGCAAAGAGTTGGTGTCCACTTGCATTTTCATTTTTATTTACAAATTTTTTTAATGCCGAAAAGTGTGTGTGTGGTGGTGGGGTGTAGGTTTGGGAGGCAACAACATAATTTTGTCCTCCCATTTCTGAAAATGTAGGGATTGCCCCCTTTGCTCTAAGCCAGTGTAAAAGATGTTTATGTATTTATGAGACAGGATCAAACAAAAGAGCAAAAGCTGAAATATCTCACCAGCTTTAATCATGATTGCATTTTATGTTGAAGTCTTTTTAAGATAAAGGTTCTACTTTAGGTATCACATAAAACATAAATGATCTATGAAAATGTATTCAGATGCCACTATCAGTCAAAAATGGATTATGTTATGTTATAATGAAGATTTTGACACTAAAGTTTAGTAACTCAGCCACATTCTTTACTGTTGTCAAAAGTCAGAAAGGAGCCTGTAATTCAGTGGTTGTCATTGGTTGCTACAATAATATATATTTATTTATTGTTTCAATCATAAATCACACGGTTGATTTTCTTGTTTGAATTATTTCTCACTTTTTAATGTCAGGGCCTTTTGTAGCCCACTATAGGGTATGGGTTTTGCTAATTGTTGAAGGCCCTACAGTGACCTATAACTGCTACCATTCACATCATTTAGACTCTAATTGATAGTTGTCTCATTAGCCATCATACCACATCTCCTTATTTTTATAATGCAAGCTGAGATTAAATGCAAAAATTCAGTCTTTTTGAAATTGCCTTCCATTTAGTAAGAAAAAAAACTACAATGCAACAAGATTGATAATAAATAAATGGGGAATGTGTCCATGGGACACAGATGATGCCCCGGCTTGCATATAACGTTATAAAGGGACATAACTCAAGAACTGTAAAAGTGACGCTACCCAAATTTGTACTTGATCTGAGTTTTGTGGTAGTAAGAATTGTCTATAAGTTTCATAACATTTATTTGAGGCAAACTTAAGTTAGAGAACGGAAACAAAAAATTAATTATTTTTTCCATTTGTAAAGGGGCATAACTCTAGAACGGTAAAAGTGATGCCACCAAAATTCGAACTTGATCTGTGTTTTGTGGTATTTAGCATTGTGCATAAGTTTCATAACATTTGGTTGAGGCAAACTAAAGTTAGAGAACAGAAACGAATAATTCAGCAATTTTTCCATTTGTAAAGGGGATAACTCAAGATCGGTAAAAGTGACGCCACCAAAATTCAAACTTAATCTGTGTTTTGTGGTAATAAGCATTGTGTATATGTTTCATAACATTTAGTTGAGGCAAACTAAAGTTAGAGAACGGAAACGAAAAATTTAGCAATTTTTCCATTTGAAAAGGGGCATAACTCTAGAACGGTAAAAGTGACTCAACCAAAATTCAAACTTGATCTGTGTTTTGTGGTAATAAGCATTGTGTATAAGTTTCATAACATTTGGTTGAGGCAAACTAAAGTTAGAGAACGGAAACGAAAAATTCAGCAATTTTTCCATTTGTAAAGGGGCATTACTCTTGAACAGTAAAAGTGACACCACCAAAATTCAAACTTGATCTGTGTTTTGTAGTAATAAGCATTGTGTATAAGTTTCATAACATTTGGTTGAGGCAAACTAAAGTTAGAGAACGAAAAATTCAGCAATTTTTCCATTTGTAAAGGGGCATTACTCTAGAACAGAAAAAGTGACGCCACCAAAATTCAAACTTGATCTGTGTTTTGTGGTAATACGCATTGTGTATAAGTTTCATAACATTTGGTTGAGGCAAACTAAAGTTAGAGAACGGAAACCAATTTTGGGACGTACGTTCGCAGGTACGTACATAAGTACAGATGGACAAGGGTAAAACTTAATGCCCCTCCACTACGGTGGGGGCATAAAAAGCCTTTACAGGAAAACGTAACTGCAACACTTTAGGCAGAAGATGAAATATAAGCTTTTAGTGAGTTTAGTTATTCACATTAACCAAAGGAAAGCTTGGAGGGAACATTTCAGAAAGGAAAATGATACATTAGGTTGTCAAAAAACAAAGATAAAATGGAAGGCAACTCTTGGACAAATGTTTTCCTGAGATGTCTCCATAAACAGAGGAAAACTTGTAGGCAACACTTAACAAATGAAGAATTTTAATTTAATGCATTTAATATAATGTAATAATGATATGCTTAAACAATAATGCTTGAACAGATTTCATTTAAAGAAACAAAAAACAGTGACTGAATATTTTTGTCTAATATATGTAAACTAAGGATATGTAAAACTCATAAATATGGTATATGTAACACATTAATAATGCTTGTGTATAAATAAATAATTTAAAATTAGTGTCAACAAAAATAAACCAGATATACATAAGTGCATACATGTATCTTCATAGCTTTGAATTCTCTAAATGGACAGCCTCTGTATGACAAATTCTTTACTAGCATATTGATAAAGTCAGTCCTTCAGATTTATTATTTTAAACAAATGTATCTTGTAACTTAACTGATGTAGTTAAATTAAGGGCATATGATACAGTTACAGGGGAGGTAATGACATTAACTTAAAATGTCAAACTGTGATATATTGGGGAAAGATGCATTTTAGACTGATTTTTATCATTCAGACTGATTTAACTTGAAAACGAGTTCATGGACCCCTCTTTTTAAAAATGACATTTGGCTTGATTAAGTATGAAGATTATTTGCACCAATTTTTATGAACAAATCACTGATGAAATTTTTTTTCAATTAGATAAATATACAGCAAAAAATGTTGCTCTTTGACTAAAATCATGAAAATGTGATAAAAATGAATTATTTCCAAAGAATTGTTTCACAAATTCAAAGCACACTTATATAGAGCAGATATTCCAGATGCTTTTGCAAAAATCTGCTTGTGTTTATCTTTTAAAACAAAAAAGTTAGGTATGTCTTTCTAAAGGATAGAAATGTTAAAGAAACCGAAATTTCCAATAAATGTCTAAAATTTCGACCCTATTTATTTCTAAAAGTAGCACATGAAGGTATATCTTTTTATTACATATCTGAATTGACTAGGTGAAAAATAACTTGTATGCAAACTTTCGGCAAAAATTCACCATGGGATCAAAACTGTATGGTATGCCCTTAAGATAGTTTATACTTTGAAAACATAACAAAATAAAAAAATCCACGATTTGGCATCAAAATTTTAATAAAACTGTCAGATTTTGGTCATTTTTCAATTGAATTTTAATTAACTTGGTTACATCCCTTTAACAGTTTTAAAAGCTTTGGTTGAAGATTTAAATGATCAATACTAGTTCCTATGAAGTTAATAAAAGTAAATATTTCTGCACATATTTCATAACTTCCACTTTTTACTCTTGTCTACAAGTGCTTCACATTTTTATTTTGGGCAAGAAAAATCTTTATAAAACCATAATGTTCAATTGGTAAGCAATGTTTAAAGCTTACTTACTGTATGACATCAATATTAGCAGTGCAAGCGCAATAAATCTATTTTGACAATCCTAAAGTTTCAAAAAGCCCTCTGTTGGTATAAAAAGAATATGGTCAAACTTACCAACTGTACAGTCAGATAATGGGTAATATTTTGATATTGAGTAAGCGATTATATATTCTAACACCATCAAATATTTCCATGTAAATAGTATTTTGAAAAGTTAACTTCTCAGCAACAAATAATGTATAAACAACAAGCAAATTTCAGCAAGGAAATATTTTTCAGAAATACTTTGAAAATATGTCATCATAACACTGATAGTTCAATACTGTAAAACAAAAAGGGGGGAGGGGAGAGAAAATAAAAGTAAGGTATTTACTGAGACAAAGAAAAATTTGAGTATTTACTGAGACAAAGAAAAGTTAGATATTTATAGAGACATAAAAAGTTAGGTATTTACTGAGACAAAGGAAAAGTTAGGTATTTACTGAGACATTTTATGAACTGCAATTAAGACTAAAACACTAAAATTAACTTATTACACAGTTATATGAATATTATCTTAAATGCATAAATTTGTGCTAGAACCTCTCTGTTAATAAACTTTTTTTAAAAACTACAATAAAATGAGAAAAATCTACCATTATTCTTCACAAAAAAAACATACAGCAGGTCAAAAGAGGCATAGAAAATCAGAGCATTTAAAACTTTCAAGCACAGAAATCTCAATATAATTCTTCACTACAGCTTAAGAAACAATTTTCTTGTTTGAAAACAAAGTCCTTACTATGTATTGAATTTTTGGTTTTATGCTCTGAAAACATTTTTATACCTAAATTTAGCTTTCCAAATTTTTTGTCACAGGCAGACCTATTTTGAATTAAAAAAATCAATTTAGCTGCCTCCACTAAACCTGTCATATCTTTTTATATCTCAGACTGCAATTAATTTAATAGTATTAATATTACACAATATGGTGAAACTGTTTTACTAATGACACTAAAAAATATAAATTCTAGTTGTTTTTTTTAACTAAAAAAAAGTTATACTGGCCAATATAAAATTTCAATTTAAATGACATTCACACAATTTGATCCAAGACATTACTGCACAAGTACATTTAATGCTAACACTAACAATTGTTCTTATTAGCAACAAAGATATTGAGGAGATATTGAGGACATATTTGTTTGTCTTTCTGTCCATTCTGTTAATAATATCGTTATTGAACCAAAACAATTTGATTTGGATACTTACTAAATGGCAAGAATCAGAACTCCATAAATATGCTAAACGGCAGTGCAAAATATGTGTAGCTGCAACCTGAGAATTTACATTACAGTGTTGCTTACACATTCATTTCATTTCAGAATTTCTCATAAAACATCCTGTGATAGTAAATAATCTGTATAAAGAAGAAAGAATACAGTTTATAACAAGCAACAGACTTTTACAACTAATATTAGTAATACACATTCATAAACTGACTTTTTTATGGTTTTCTGCACATAACAAAGAGAGTTGTATATAAAAATATAAATGTTCAACTAAGTTCTTAATTTTAGATTACTGGGAATGGATTTTTTAAGTTTTGCAAAGAATGTGAAATTCAAAATTCTACTTAAAAAATATATGTTAACATACTTATTTTTAGAGAAAAGTTTCAACCAAAGAACTACCAGTACCTTAAACTGAGGTGTTGACAAATCATTTATTACTTCCTGGTGCTAAAGCAGATTACATCACATTGTTTCAAAATCTGTCTTAAAGTTATACAATGTAAAGCTGACTATCAATTTTAATGAAACATGAACTCTAGTCCCACTATAGATACTGTACTATGAAAAACATAGGACAATTTGGAAACTTAGAAATCCATTACAGTAACAGTGAAGGTTCTATATATTTACACTTTCAATAAACTAAGAGGTAGTAATGATATGAGCATATATCAATAAAGTTAATTCTACATTTCTATTGTCATTCATTACACAATTGAACTCCTGTCAAATCAAAGTTGAACTAACAAAATTTGGTGAATGTTTAAAGAAATTAAGTCAGAAATCAAAAGCCGACCTCTGCTGTCTTAAAACTAATATAAAATGTAGACTACACAACCAATTATAAAACAACTCTTTGTGAAATGCCAGAAGCTGCAACCCTTTCTCAAAGCTTTCATTTAAATACTGAAGCAGTCAAATAAAAAAAATATCTAACTTAACAATAAGATAACTTTACAAAGGTTATCCTAGCTCATTGTTGGTATAAGGTCAACAAATGTTTGTAAATACTGCTACAATACATCAAAAACATTTGATCTTATGGCAACTAAATATAATAATCTCATATATAACAGATCAATATAGTCCTATTGTTAACCTTTGTCACAGTATTATCTTAAAGTAATTATAAAGAAACTTCTGAAATAAACTCTGATAAAAATGACAATGCAGAGTACTACAAAGCAAAAAATATGGATATGAATGTATACCAGAAAAAAGTTTGTAAAACTTTATAGTTTCAAAATTGGATGCATTCAAAATTTAATAGATTTATGAGAAATGAATTGCATAATATATGTTTGCTTTCATATAATGATATCTCACAACATGTGTGTATAACAGTATCAGATCTAATCTTGAATATTATTAATAAAATACAAAACATTAAAACTATATTGCTTTTCAAATGATTATATATAACTATTACATATCACAATTATCAGTAATCAGAGTCTGTTCTCATGTTGTTGTTCTGGTTTCCATAGAAACAGTCTTCTGCTGCCATGTATTGGTCCTGGCTAGAGATATTCGTTGCAAAGTACAATTAAGTAAATAACAGTTTTATCAGCTGTTTGACTCTTTTTGAATTACAGAGACAATTTGTTCATGGAGTTCGTATAGTTCTGTTACTTTATTGCCGAGTTGTTCCTGAAGGGTTAACACTTCTGAAGTGTCTTTATCACGAATTGTTTTACAATCTTGTAATTGTCTTTGAAAATCTTGTATTTTTAAAGTTAATAATTTATTTTCTTCTTCTAAACTCTGAAAGACATAAAAATAGCATTGTTTAAGAATAAATTGACTATGTACCAAACATCTACTGACATTTAAGATACTTATTATATGTGAAAGTATATGAGATTTACTTTTACAATGAGAAAGTATAAAGCTTTCACTTTTAGACAGGTGATATCCAAACAAGTTATACTGACATTTGATTTATTTATACATGATAAGTGTAATTATGTCCCTTGTTATCCATAGATATTTTTGATACCAATGATGTATTGTGTCAGGATTCTGGCACATACAATTCTACACGAGTCAAGTGTGTAATGTGTGCCATCATTATATTTCTAGTAGATCTCCCCATCATTAAAACACATAATAAAGTATTTAAACATACATTTAACATTAAAAGGAATTTGAGTTTGTTTTTTCCAATATGCCTATTTCTTCTAAAAACAGTTATCTCTCTTTGACAGTTTTCTGTTATCAAATTTACATATAAAACAGTGGTTTGTCAGCTGTAGACAAAATATCAACAATCAATCTCAACAGCATGTATTTACCCGTTTAGTTTCTAGTATATAATGGAATACAGAAAAATATTTCACCTGAAGGAGTATGTCTACGGAAAGTTTAGGATACAGGAGAGATGTACTATGTTAAACCATACCTGTAATTTGGATTGCATATTATTATTTTTGGTCTCTTTGGCACTAAGTTCTTCTGTTTTTCGTGTTAGCTGATTAATTTCCTGAAAAATATATATTCTCATTGATGAAAGAAGAAAAGTTATATGACCCATGACTTAAACACTTACCCTAACTTAGTTATAGACATAAAATCAATATGCAAATTACTATAAGTATACAATTTTTTTTCTTAAAGACTTGCTTTCTTACTCATTAAAAACTTTTACTATAAATATTTAGGTTATTCTTTGATATTTGTTGAAATGACAAAAACAATACTTTTTTGGTATCCCATATTCAAATTAAAATGCCTTGTTTTAAAAAGAATAAAAATCATTTAAGTAAACTGAATCCTTCCTTTGCTGCACATTAACTGATTGATTGTTGGTTGCTTAACGTCAAGTGGCAAATATTTCATGCATGTTCAGGACGATGCTCAAAATTCTAATGGATATGACTAACATCTGATTTATCTTGACTTTCTATCTGGACTTTTTCTAATCGTTCTGTAAGTTGCTGTAGTTCTGTCTGTAAAGCTCCGATCTGTTCTGAGTTGTTCTGTTGTTTCTCCATTTCTACAACCTGCAATAAATATATAATTAGTTACTTTATTTTGAAGAATAGTTAAATTTTTCATCTTAACAATACAATAATTTCTAATTAATAAATTGAATGGAGCATGACTGAAATCTTAAAAAATCACAATATTTTGTATTCAGGTTGAAATGAATAAAATGATCGATGATTTAGTATGAGCCCTTGTAAGAAAAAACACAGAAAAAAACCTCATGAATAATGTCCAAAATTGCAGATCACTTAAGAGTGACTAAAAACAGATTCTCAAATTCTGCTTAAAACTGACATGAAGAAATGCTAAATACAGGACATAAAATATCAAAAGATATAGTTAAGTACAGCTTTATAAAAGCACCTTATCACAAAACACTGAAGTACAACCATTGATTGTCTAAAGTGTAGGACATGATCAGAAGTATATATATACATGTATATCAGAAGGTTAAGTACTCTGAGCTTGTTTTTTTTTTTAAATAACTGCAAGCATTCTTTGATACAATATCTCTAATTTTTTTTTTTTACTAGATCTGTGTTTTCAAAATTTCTTCCAGTCATGTCATTTTCTTAACAACTGATTATTACCTTTTTCTTCATTCTAGCACTTTCATCTTTGTAAGCTGCTAGTTGTTTTTTCCATTCCTCTACATTTGCTGTACTCTCTTGGAGTGCTGCAGTTAGTCGTGCATTGTTGTTTTTCAGTGTCTGTAGCTCTATCTCCCATTTCTTGGCATTTGCTGAACTGCAAAAAAAAGGTTATCTTTACAAACAGAGGCAGAGCAGGGATAGTGTAGAGTAAACTGTATGAATATGTCTATTGTCATGATTATGGCTATAATTATTGTACTGTTAATTTCAAATTACATGTTGATATATACTATACAATAAATAATATTTCATGAGATTTTTTACAATTCATCAAACTCAAACCTTTTTTGTTTTCTGAACAGAGCAAATTTACAGTTGACTATTTTTTATACAGAGAAAAAAAAACTTCAGGAGAGCAGGTGATCACTGCTTTTTGCTTAATCTATCTATTGTTACATCCCACTTGTCTGTCATAATAAAATGTTTTCCAAATGATGATTTAGTTTGCTTTGGAGAAGGAAATTTTTCCTACCATAAAATGCAGTTCAAGCTTGATTTTCACTTTTTGCCATGTTTGCAAGAATTATTATTCTAGAGTTGTGCCTTTGAATTGTCCCAAAATGTTAAAATTGTTATCTCATTAAAAGCTTAAGTTTTTCAAGGAGTGGGACTTTTGAATGATTGGAAAAATTACATTATACAATGTTAGATATTTGTTGTAATGTAATTTTAGTGCCAGAGTTATTCCTCTTGACATGCCGTAAAATTGTAAAGTTGAGTTTCTTAGATTGCCATGAGCTATGATATTCTATTTATGTACTTCAATCTTATATTTTTCTATACAGATATATTCAAATTTTTTACAACATTTTCATGTATTAAACCAAAAGTATAGTAATATCTATGTCATTTGGTCTTTGTTGAAGAGTTGTCTCATTGGGAATCATAAAACATCTTATTTTTATAATGTATATGTTTTAATGTATCAATTCTGTAGATTATAGAATTCTTTATAAAACTTCCTACCATGGGTTCAATTATTTTCTTGGGAACCAATTTTCAGGGAATGAGTGAACAATACATTTTTGTGGAAACTTAATTTGTGGTTTTGACTAATTCTGCATGCAAGCCTATATGAAATTTGTATTTTCCTGAAGACTTTAATAATTGGTTCACCTTAACCTATGAAATCCAGGAAAAATTATTACACCAGTGGTCCACAAACAATAATGAATTCACAGTATAACTTGAAATGAAATAAGTTAAATATCTTTTATTTGTAATGAATGTATAAATGTTTTGTTCGAGCATATTGTTTTTCTTTAATTGTTTAACATTTCTTACCGATATAACATGTAACTTTTTTTATTCTTCCCTTAGTTTATTTATTTTGTATTTACATTGTGTCATAGGTCAAATTTATTTGTTCAGTGTATGTTCAATGGTGTTAATATGTCCTTTGATTGAGTTAAGCTATTTCAGTTGATATTTTATAGTGTGTCTTTCTATGTTGTGATGTTACACTATTGTTTCAGAAAAAGGGTGAAGGCTTGGTACCATTAAAACGTTTAAACCCGCTGCATTTGTTTGCACCTGTCCTAAGTCAGGAATCTGATGTTCAGTAGTTGTCGTTTGTTGATGTGGTTCATAAGTGTTTCTCGTTTCTCGTTTTTTATATAGATTAGACCGTTGGTTTTCCCGTTTGAATGGTTTTACACTAGTAATTTTTTGGGGCCCTTTATAGCTTACTGTTCGGTGTGAGCCAAGGATCCGTGTTGAAGACCGCACTGTGACCTATAATGGTTTACTATTATAAATTTTGACTTGGATGGAGAGTTGTCTCATTGGCACTCATACCACATCTTCTTATATCTATATACTCTGTTGTTACAAACCTTTGGGCTAAGGCAAGTTTAAGTCTATCATTTTCATATTTCATCTGACTTTCTGGACTGTTACCAGAATTAGAACCCGGAGTATTAAATGAATTTCTTCTCTCTTTCAGGTTTAAACCATCTTGAGATCCCTAAAATAGTAAAAAAACAAATACACATTTTGTATATAAACCTGAATAAACGAATAAAACAGCTTTCATCTTGTTCCAAGAAAATGACAAATGATGGACCTTAGCTATGTTGTGTGATATTAAATAAATTTGGTATTTTTGGAAACAAATATTAATCATGCTACTTAAACCCAACAACAGCAGAAAACAACATATCATATTTGTTTTTCATTCATTGTTTTGTACATAAATCAGGCCATTAGTTTTCTCTTTTGAATGGTTTTACATTTGTCATTTCAGGGCCTTTTGCAGCTGACTATGCGGTATGGGTTTTGCTAATTGTTTAAGGCCGTACAGTGACCTATAGTTGTTAACTTCTATGTCATTTGGTCTGGTGGAGATTGTCTCATTGGCAATCATACCACATCTTCTTAATTTTATATATAATCTGTGCCATTAACTTTTCAACCAAGAAGTCCAAGAAGACATTTGATGGAACTATTACATATTTGTCTAATTAACATTTATCATGTATCTTCACAAGTCTGTTTACTAAGCTATGGCACAGGAATAGCAGTTTTCAGGCTAAGACTTTTATTACACAGAGAAATAGACTGGAAAAGCAAAAAATGCACACACTTCGAAGAATCTTCACAGAAATATGCAGAAAAGCCAACTCTCAAAACAATAAAAAAATGGTTATAGAAAAACAAACAAACACACATAAGTTATATAATATCACACAAAGATTTCTAAGCTGTTTGTAAGATTCAGTCCAAGATAAGTCTGTGAAAGAAAATTTATGTCCAAGATAAGTCTGTGAAAGACAATTTATGTCCTAGATAAGTCTGTGAAAGACAATTTATGTCCAAGATAAGTCTGTGAAAGACAATTATAGTTATTTGTATTGTGAACAAATCATATAATGGTTCTGTGTTTGAAAATTAATGCATTGGTGTCAGACCATCATAATTCAAAAATAATTACAAATAAAATGCTCCGCAGGGCGCAGCTTGATACGACCGCAGAGGTCGAATCCTGAACAGTTGGGGCAAGTATGGACACAACATTCAAGCTTGATACAGCTTTGCATTTGGATTGTGATTAAATATTTGACACAGCATAGGTTTCTGACACAGAATGAATGTGGTCTAAGAACTTAAAAATTTTAAATTGGACATTCACCTATTATGGTCCAATATCCAAAATCTAAATACATGGTTAGATTCAGCATATCAAAGAACCCCAAGAATTCAATTTTTGATGAAATCAAACAAAGTTTAATTTTGGACCCTTTTTACCTCAATGTGGACAAAGTTGATAACGGGGCCCAAAAATCAAAAATCTAAGTACATGGTTAGATTCAGCATATCAAAGAACCCCATATATTCAATTTTTGTTGAAATCAAACAAAGTTTAATTTTGGACCCCGATTTGGACCAACTTGAAAACTGGGCCCATAATCAAAAATCTAAATACATGTTTAGATTCAGCATATCAAAGAACCCTAAGAATTCAATTTTTGTTAAAATCAAACTAAGTTTAATTTTGGACCCTTTGGACCTTAATGTAGACCAATTTGAAAACGGAACCAAAAATTAAGAATCTAAATTCACGGTTAGATTCGGCATATCAAAGAACCCCAATAATTCAATTTTTGATGAAATCAAACAAAGTTTAATTTTGGACCCTTTTGACCTCAATGTGGACCAATTTAAAAACGGGGCCCAAAATCCAAAAACTAAATACACGGTTAGATTCAGCATATTAAAGAACCCCAAGAATTCAAGAATAAAACCCCATTGAAATTGGTCAAGAAATAAGCAATTTATACGAAGTACATGTATCTTCTTTTGCACAATACTGTGCAATTAAATATTTCTTGCTATTGCGCAATACTGTACAATTGACAATTTCTTGCTATTGCGCAATATTGTGCTATTGGATATTTCTTGCTATTGCGCAATACTGTGCAATTGAAGATTTCTTGCTATTGCACAATACTGTGCAATTGAAGATTTCTTGCTATTGTGCAATACTGTGCAATTGAAAATTTCTTGCTATTGCACAATATTTATTATATAATAATTTACACATCCTGTTTGGTGTGTATCTCCTACCATATCATTATTATTTGCTTTTAAATATAAATCAGAAATAACCAACTTAAAATGGAAAATTTTAAAAGAAAAAAAAAAGGAAAAAAAGAAAAAAAAAGGAAAACCCCCCCCCCCCCCCCAAATTTTTTGAACCCCCTTATGATTCATCACCCCCAAACTCAATCCCAGCCTTCCCTTTGTGGTATGGTACCTTGCAGTACAATTTCAGAGAGATCCATAAACTTGAACACAAGTTATTGTCTGGAAACTAGAAAAATGTGTTTTTTGGCCCCTTTTTGGCCCCAAATTCCTAAACGTTTAGGGCAATTACCCCCAAACTCAAACCCAGCTTTCCCTTTGTGATATGGAACCTTGTAGTACAATTTCAGAAAGATCCATACACTTACACATAAGTTATTGTCCTGAAACTAGAAAAATGCTTGTTTTTTGCCCCTTTCTGGCCCCTAATTCCTAAAATATTGAGGCAATTACCCCCATCATCAATCCCAGCCTTCCCTTTGTGGTATGGTACCTTGCAGTACAATTTCAGAGAGATCCATACACTTGAACACAAGTTATTGTCTGGAAACTAGAAAAATGCTTATTTTTGGCCCCTTTTTGGCCCCCAATTCCTAAACGTTTCGGCAATTACCCCCAAACTCAATTCCAGCTTTCCCTTTGTGATATGGAACCTTGTAGTACAATTTCAGAAAGATCCATACACTTACACACAAGTTATTGTCATGAAACTAGAAAAATGCTTGTTTTTTGCCCCTTTTTTGGCCCCTAATTCCTAAAATTTTGAGGCAATTACCCCCAAAATCAATCCCAGCATTCCTTTTGTGATATGGAACCTTGTGGTACAATGTCACAGAGATCCATACACTAACACACAAGTTATGTCTGGAAGTTACAAAAATGCTTATTTTTGGCCCCTTTTTGGCCCCGAATTCCTTTACTGTTGGTACCATAACCCCCAAAATCAATCCCAACCTTTCTTTTGTGGTATTGAACCTTGTGGTTAAATTTCATAGAGATCCATTCACTTAAACTAAAGTTAGAGTGCGAAAACCAATGTGTCTTCGGACGACGCCAGACGACGACGACGACGACGACGACGACGACGACAACGACGACGACGACGACGACGACGACGCCAACGTCATACCAATATACGACCACAAAAATTTTTTTGCGGTCGTATAAAAACAGAATATATATATATACTAATAGATATATCAGAGGTGGATTTAGGGGGGAGGGTACCCTGCCCCATTATGGAGCTACATTTATGGTTAATTTTGACTTTTTACTTGCTCCACTCCAAAAATTGTTTAGTTTGGGGATCCCGGGCCCCCCTTTTTCAAAATCCTGGATCCGCATCAGTATATATATATATATTACTGCATTTCAAGTAAAAAAAAAAAAAAAAAAAAAATACCAGTATCCATGCATGCAATTTATATTGAATTAATTTATACATTTCTCATCCTAAGATTCATGCAGTCCATCTATAAATATACTATATTGTCTACACCAAGTCCTTTTCATGCATATAAGTTTTCTCTATATTCTCATGTACTAGTACTTTACTTTTTTAACCTTTTTGTTAAATAATCACCTTAACCAAAATTGGAAGAAAAAAATTACTCTTGTACCATTTGACTGTGTCCTTGCCGAAGTTTTCAAAACTGTCATTAGTTCAAACAAATCGATAAAATTATCCTCAAAATGGAGAATTTTAACATCAATATTTTTTACCAACATTTTTTTACTGTTGACTTTAGTCATCAATCGGTCAATATTGATCTTATGAATTAATTGTCTACACCAATCATTCTTTTTAAGTAATTTAAACATACTTATTGTGTATTGCCTTTAAAATGTATGTTCTGATCTATAGTAAAAAGGAGATTCACTTTGAATCAATCAAACTCATATTACTGATTACAATTTAAATGTCTATTACTTGTAGGTTATAATTGGTTTAGATATCAAATTCCTAAGCTCATTTTTTAATCAAGATTTTTGTCACAGTCATCATGGACAAGAGTTTATCCCAATAAATGTAGGAAGCTTTATCATTCAGCAAGAATTAGAAAGATCAAAATACTTTGTCTTCGACTGATGATAGTTCAGGGCTTTCTGCTGGATCTTCTGGGCTATCAGTCTACAAAATTTTGTTATAATCTCTATACTTTCTTCCAAATACCATTTTTCTTATTACACATGATTTATTTGTAAGAAGTATTGTCGGAATGTAAATAAGACTATATATAACCCAAAATACTCCGATAAAACTGATAGCATATGAAAAATTATAATTCACAGATCATAAATCTATGCATCTTTTGACTAAAATTAAGAGTTACACAACAGATGTCTGTTATTATATAGCAAAAATAAACATATCATTGATAAACATTCACAAATCAAAATAAAACTCTATATTCTGTGTTGAGATGCTTCCTATGCAGTTTACTATTTTGAATGACTTGTTTTATTGAATTTGATGTTAATGAAGAGTGAAAGTTTGAGAATTTTTAGTCAATGTTAGTTATTTTACAAAATCAAAAGAAAAAAAATCATCAATGTTGTGTATTATTTTTCTAAAATTTAATTGAAAATTCTTTTACCAAAGTTTATACCAATTACAAGGTACCTTTGCTATGATGCTCTTTCCCTTTTTTCCATACACAAGATTTCAAAAGAGACTTATTAAAGTCTTTCTAATTTTATGCTTTGGGTGTGAGTTGTTTGGATGTAATGTAGAAGTACCAGTAATAGAGGCAAATTAGAAACAGTTTTTACTAGTATTTAGTGATTTAAAAGCAATGAAAATTTCAAACCATTCAAATTTATGCAACAAAGCAGGCCATGAAAGAAGTTAAGCAAATTCATCATTCAACACACCCAAATCAACATTAGATCATTAACATTATTTTTATTTGGTGGTCAAGAAATTTTATCTATGTTCCTTCTTTTTCATGTTTTTTAATTTACAACTTTGTTCTGTCAGATGGTAAAAAAAAACCCATCAAAAACACCAATAGTTTCATAAAGTTAAAAATGAACAAAGAACACCAATAGTTTATTTAATGTTTAAATTACATTTGCTAAAACTGGAAACATCCCAACACTATACAGTTACATGAAGAACATGCAAGCACCAAACAAACCTGAACAGCAGAGAGGCTAGAACTGCGATGATGCAGGACCTGCCGTGCACCTGGGGAAGGAAGCGCAGGGGAAGACTGGCTAGCAGAATGATTCTCATCTACAACATTGCCATTAATTTGAGGACTATGTTGTGGTGGTGGTGGCTGTTGTTGTACTTGTTGTTGAGCTACCTGTTGTCTTGTAAGATCTTTGATGTCTTTGAACTTCTCTATAAACTAGAATGAGAAAATAAACAGAAATGAAACAGGATAAATGTTCGCAATGGCAAAATATGTAAGGTCCTTTTCAAGGGTAAAAATCATAGTCAACTTTTCAATCAGGTAAAGTTAATAAATTAATGAATCAATGTTTCCTTAAAAGACTGAATATGGTGTATAGGTCCCAGTTCCATTTTTTTTATTTCCTTGGTTCAAGGTCAAATCTTATCAAAGGCTACCTGGTTTTAGTGGTTTTAATGAAGATTTCAAAAAGTATATTCCAGCATCTTAAGACATAGTTTGTTGTGCTCTGTAGACCTATAACAAAGTTTAAATAGGAATCAGACAGAACTTTGGAGTCCAAGAAAAATTAAAAACACTCAAACATATCCAATGTTTGCAGATATTTACCTGCTGGAAGTCTGTACTATGAACTAATATATAGAGCATCTACTTTTGGAACAAAACTAAAATCTGCATTTTTCACAAGACTGGTATTTAATAAATTGTCATAACTAAATCTGATCCAATTTACTTGGGCTGTCAGTGTGTTCAGTGAGGCAAAGAAAAAGATATTTATCAACATCCCAAGGTCCTGGAGTCAGAGGTCAAGAAATAGAATACAAAATTCTAATACCATAAGCAAGAACATCTTTAATTTGGTATTTAGGCAACTGTTCATATTCACTGTATATATATACTTTAAAATGTGTTGTTTAAAGAGGGATAGCAAGGCTTCCATTTAACCAACATGTATAACAAAAATGCAACCTTGTAAGAAAAAATTTTCAAAATATGAATTTCTTTCAAACAATTTTATTTGTTGTGAAGATGGCAAATTTGGCTGGCAGAGATAAGTTGTTTAACAAATGCAGATACAATAAACATTCTAATGTAAAGTTCTGAAATATTTCCTTCAAATGAATGTATATTTTGTGAAGGTGGCCATCTTGGTGAACGGATAGGAATTTTTAATCAAATTACAATCAATTTGTAGATATTCAGTACCTCTGTAATTTTATAGGTAATAAATATGCTAAGCAAATGTTCTATATGCATAGTAATGATCATTGTGTCAGTTGGTCTGAAAGGTCAGCATATATGATTCAAGTATGGTTCAAAGCAACAGGTCACTGTCAAAAGGAAAGATTTTGCAATGAAAGTGACAGATATATGCCAAGTGATTATAATATCTCAAAAAGTCAAAAATAGGCCAATAGCTAAACTATATAAAAGAAGTAGACTTATTCATATCCACTATCTATATTGCCATGAATCAGTGAATGAAAAAAAATTGTTCACGAAGTTTGATGGTATCAATTTATTTATCTGATTTCTTCGTTAAATTTTCTTTCATCTGATATCAAGTGTACTAAAATTTATATATAAAAATTTCACCACTTTTCCATATGATAATGATTGAATTAATTACCATAGCAGAAACTTATTATAAATTTACTCTTAAAATAAACTAGTAAGTTGGACAGGTGTGATTTTATTTCAGAATCTGGTAAATCTGCCATAAAATACTTCCCCAGCCTGCTATTCAAATTACCTTGGTATATACTATAATAATGAAAATTAATTTTACAGAATGCATATTTTGTCTAGTCTATCACCCAAGTATTCTAGCAGAAATTGTACAATTTCGAGTGTTCTATTCTGGTATAATAAAGATATAATTAGTAACATCTTCTATTTATTGCTTTCAATTACTAAATAGTAAATTATTACATATGAACATCTTTGACTAGGATTTCTGTTACAAGTTTTACGCTATTTCATATCTCTCTCTCAATTTACTGTTTCTATTTTGAGTTGTATGTAGTTTTACCATTCATAAATGCAATTAACAGCATTCATTATGTATGACATTAGATATATTTTACCATGGCAATACCTGTTTACAACTGACTTTCTTACCAGGAAGAAGCTGTATATATCACAGTACTAGCTCACAAGTACTTACTATCTACATCATAACAGTTTGAATATCTGTTTTGTTTTGTCCTCTAGATATATGATATTGTTCTAGTTTTACTTGTGTATCTTTTTTTTTTATCATTTCTTGTTCTTTTCTCCTTTAGGGCCTCATTTCCAGTTCATTTTTAAGGGTACTGAGGATTCATTATTATTCTTGAGATACCATTTTTTTTGGATTTTTTTGGGTATAGGAGAACCACAAAATCAAATGTTTAATGCAAACAAATTTTCTGTAGGCTTACATGCAAACTGAAGGTCATGAACATGAAATCAAATACAATATATAACCAAAAATACAATTTTGCCTCAATCCATGACAATTGGTACTCATGAAAATAGATGAATCCAAAGTATATAACAGGTTAGACTTCTTTTCAATTTAACATATGCTGCAAAGTGCAGAAGATTTACAGGGTGGGAGGTACTATTCATCACGCAAGACCCTCAAAATAAACCGATTTAACATAAAAGTAGAACTTACCTTTGCCAAATCTGCTTCTGATGTAAATCCAAGTCCATAGACTGTATTTGCCCTTGGATCTGACCACTGGCCAAACTTCTGGGATGTTTTGGTAAAGGTCATTCCAGGTGTGATAGTACTGTTGATGATTGCCTGTAAGATATTGAACAAATTATATTTAGTGTTAACCTCATGCCTTGCTTTGAATTATATAATCTTGAGAACTTGTTATACTTTTGTAGATGAAAATAGCTTGATATATCTGTAGTAAATGTAAATGAAACAGCAAACCAACAACACAAGTCCACTTATGTCAATAAATGCACCCAAACATCCTATTATAAGGCTATAGCTCACTAAATGTTTCAGAGCTCAGACTAAAAACTTTATAAACTCTACACTTTTTGAATCACAATATTTTTTTACCATTTTTTGTTCAATAGCTTCCTTGTAAGCAGCTACCCTCTATCAAGAAAAACATGATAGGAAATGCAAGCTATGGAATATGGTATCAACTAGAAGAATATATACTCCGTATGTAATTGTCAGAATAAAAATGTGGACCAGAATTAATTTAGCATTTAATGACTCTCTTGTGGGCAGATTGAATAGTTCTACAATCATGTTTGTGGTGACCACATTTTTAAGATATTTCATACAAGTGCATGTTCTTAAAGGGACATAACTAGAGAACTGTAAAATTGACACCACCCGAACTCGAACTTGATCCGTGTTTTATGGTAATAAGCATTGTGTATAAGTTTCATACAATTTGGTTGAGGCAATCTTAGTTGGAGAACGGAAACTAATTTTGGGATGTACCTATGTACAGATGGACAAGGGTACACTTAATGCCCCCTCTGCCATGGCGGGACATGAAAACTTAGGGTAGACAAAAAACAAACCCCAAAATGTATGTTCATTATCTGAAAGTAAAATGATACCCACACAGTGCTGCAAGGTGCTGCTACTGATAACAATGTATCCCATATGTTAATAAATGGCCAGATAAATCTACTTAAATGTCTGTTGGTTGGGCTAGCTGGATGTATAGTCTTTTAAAAGAACTAAATTTTTGTATATAGCAAAGTTTTGTTTTGTTTGGAACCCGTTATGGGGAGTTGTGGATACAAAGTGTGAATGGACAAATGTAATCTCAATAACTTGTGAACTTGCACATCAGTCACTATTTACCATTGTTTAATAAGCAGGAGAATAACAGTGACTGGGGACATAAAAAAGAAACTGAATGTGTCTATAGTACACGGATGCCCCCCTCGCACTATCATTTTCTATGTTCAGTGGACTATGAAATTGGTGGGGCATATAAAGGGGTTTATGTCTTAAAGCTCAATCTGTTGCTTCCTGGACCTTTCAGACAATTTCAATGGCAGCGTAATTGTATCAGAGAGTTCAAAAATGCATGTTATGTATGTAGATCCTGCCTTGTATATCATAAAATACAACAGAATGACACAGCACCTTTATCCCCTTCAGACAGTAGTATACATTTGCTTTGATAATGACATTAATAATTATGGATCCTTGATAAAAAGGTAGATAACTGTTAATACAATTATGATCTTTGATGAAAATATAGATAACTATGATGTTTTAATTAACTGATGTCATTAAAATAACATTAAACACTCACTTAAGACTGCTGTTAGGATGGATTTTATAATGTAATAAGAACATTACAGTCAGATATCTTTATATCAGTAGAGAGACACATTCAAGGCACCAAAGTGTCTTTATGACTTTCTAGTTATGGCTTCTCTATCAGAAGCCTTTGAACAGCTCATCAGGTCACAAAGCTGAACAAATTATCAATAAAGGGCAGCTATCAATATTTCTATGCTTATTTGTATTCTCAGTAGCATCATAAATATTTCTAAGTTTACTTATATACCCAGACGTATCATACTGTTTTAATAATAATAGAAGTTCATTACCATTAATGCACTTTTGATGGAACACAAATAATTTCAGATATAGAATTCAAACACTTCATTAGTTTTAATTAATATGTTTTATTGATAAACCAACCAGAAGTAAAGCCAGATATTTATTATTATCCTGTTTTAATTATACATATGATAAAACAAGACAATAACCACTAAGTTTGTTCAATCATTTTTGTAGGATTTGGTTCTAAAACATATAGTTTTATTGGAGCATTTAATTAGCAAAACACACTGACTGATTGGTAATGTAATTGCCTTGCTTTTTTACAACATGTAAAACATAATAATAGCTTGTGCTTTTTAACTGCTCTTTGATGTTTTTCTTTCCTTATAACAAAACCAGTAGAAAAGTCTACATTAATATACAAGTCGATGGCTTTCTTATAATTTGTCTGCAATTTTTTTTCTATTTGTGCCATTGTTATTGCTCCATAAAATTTCTGGAATATAAGTCCACAATATTTCAAACCTACATGTAATATATCCTGAATTACAGGAATAATGGTTTGCTGTCAAGGAAGATATACAACAAAGGATTACTGTAGGTCCTTGTACTGTTCATCTTATTGTTGTCATGATAATTATTGATAATCAATGTCATGATTAGGACTGTCAGCAGAGGATGTTAAAATATTTTTTGATGTTCAGCATTAATTGCTTCTAAGATTATAACTATCAACCAAAGATGCAGCCATGTTTAGGATTGTAAGTCTAAGATGTAACCAAGACTAAAATTGTTAATCTAAGATTTGGCCATGATTAGAATCTTCACTTTAGATAAAGCCTTGATAAAGACTGTTCGAATATGATGTAGCCATGATTAGGATTTAAAGTCAAAGATGTAGTCATAAATAGAATTGTCAGTATGATATGTAGCCATCAATTGGACTTTCAGCCTAAAATGTAGCCATATAAGGATAATCAACTTTAAATGTAGCAAAGATTAAAATTGTCAGCTAGATATCTAGCCATAATAAAATGATCAGGATATGATGTAGCTATGATTAAGATTGTCAGCCTAAAACATAGTCATGATTAGGATTGTAAGCCTTAAACATAGTCATGATTAAGATTGGAAGACTTAAACATAGTCATGATTAAGATTGTCAGCCTTAAACATAGTCATGATTAGGACTGTCAGCCTTAAACATAGTCATGATTAGGACTGTCAGCCTTAAACATAGTCATGATTAATTAGGACTGTAAACCTTGAACATAGTCATGATTAAGATTGTAAGACTTAAAGTCATGATTAAGATTGTCATCCTTAAATATAGTCATGATTAAGATTGTCAGTCTTTAACATAGTCAAGATTAGGACTGTCAGCCTTAAACATAGTCATGATTAGGACTGTCAGCCTTAACATAGTCATGATTACATTGTCTGCCCAAGATGCAGCCATGATTAGGATTGTCAGCAAAAATGTATTCATGATTAAGATATAGCCATGAGAAGGATTGTCAGCCTTATATGTTGCCATGATCAGGATTTTCTGTCTTAGCACTTATATGTTTGAATTTAAAAAAGACAAAAAAAAGGGTGTTGGTCCAGTACAAAAAAAAAGACATGAATTCATAAATAATCAACACACCCTCATTTTCCCTGTGACAGTAAAAATTGTTTACCCTCCAAATAATATTTGATCCATTATCCACAACCTTTTCAATTCATTTATTTGTTTCTTTTTTCCTGAACATTCATGAAATGTCTGTTATGTCAAATGTAAGGTTAGTCATCTGATTCATGCTTTCACCTACCGGTAAGCACTCTAATTTAAAAAAATATATAACTGTTTCAATAGCTCTTGATAAAATTTTCACCTATCTGACCAGTTGCAAGAAAATGGGTTATCACATATACAATTGATGGCTCAAGTATGCCAATTTTTCTCCCAAGAATTTCATGGTTTGCTAAAACACATTTGTCAAAAGTGTTTCTGTTTCTTGATTTTCAACAATTACTTTCCTTGACTAAACATCCACAAATCATTGAAAAATTACCTTAGATCCATCAACACTGATAATTCTGTATGTACTTCTTGTAGAATCATAATAATATGAGACACTGACAGCATTCTTACTGGCAGGGATCCAGTTCTTTTTGGTTTCTGGGTCTATCTGAAACACATGGGCTTTGGTAGAAAAGATGGGCTGCTCCCTGAAAATAGAAAAAAATATCTGTTTTTACGATTATTCTAATGGATTTAACTTTCATTTATGTAACTTGAAAACAAAATACAGACTTTGTACACATTTGTATGCTGATGCACTCTGGACATTTTTCATAAAGCATTAAAAAACCAAAGTTACAGATGAACTATTCTGTGGGCAAACACTCATATAATTTATTTGCCCATGTGTCTGCACAAGTATAGCAAATTATCAATATATTTTTCCTTCTATTATCTGAGTTCTAAGACAGCTTCATAGCATTCTTGCTTAAAAGATTGTATCAGCAGATAGGAAAAAATTCACTCCTCTATCTGTGGTTAATAAAAATTCTCAACATTCAAAAATACGTTACTCAACATCATGATTACACACCCTTGATAAAAACTATTGACTGAAAGAAACCACATTTTCACACAAAAATAAAAAATAATAAAAAATAAATATACAGTATTACATTACATCATTGTATATGCTAAATATGAATTAATAATTAAAATAATACATTTTATGTAGATTTAAAAATAAATATGCAATAGTACACACATGTATATGTTGTTAAAAAAGCAATTATTTCATGCACTATTGTAAAAGATACAAACCATTTCTTGGAAAAAGATCCTCTACGGCTAAGAAACTTAAACATGTATTACAACAATCAAGCACTGTGCGTAATTATCCTGATAAAACAAACAATGAGAACCATAAATCCTTCAGTATTACATCTACTGCTGGCTTCCAAAAAAATACCAACTAATTTACCGATCACAAAAATACCTTCTGCTCTTAACATATTTTCCTCCAATACAATTAACAACCCATAATAGCGGCAAAACAATCAATCATTCATAAAACCATCAAAGAAAAAATATTTCTAAAACAACAGATAAGTAATTTTCTCCTTACTCTCTCCGCACTATCAAGTGCTCTTCAAAAACATCATCATCCGCAAAGTCGTCTCCAGCAAAGGTCGTGGAATCAACGGAGCTTGGTGTCAAAATATACGCCATATCCGACTTCATTGATTCTGTTCGATGTCAGATGGGATGTTGTCTTTTGTTTGGTAACTTTTTGTACTCCTTAATAATATTATCCTTTTTATGGAATATGTAAGCTGAAGTTGTTCCTAATTCATAGCACCATTTAATATCCCAATATTGATTTCTTGCTGATGAATAATATTCTAAATGTGAAAATATGCTTTATCTAACTTTCTGCACTAAATTGTTCAATCTTATCAAGCAGCTTTTGTAGGAATTCTAATTCCCTGATCATGTATAAATCCTATCTACACTATTTATACATCAATTTTCTTACTACATATTATCCAAAAAGCATTATGATGTTTTCAAATGTGACAACAGAAATATCAACAACTAGGAAGGCTAGAAAATACAATTAAACAGTGCTAAAAACAGCAAAATGTGACCAGTTCGTCCATATTGTTACAAATGCATGACATTAGAATGACCGCAAATAAACTTGCTAATTACCAAAAAGTGATACATGACATATGTTTACCTGGAGGACATCAAAGGATTACCTGCAATTAATTTCCAGCATTTTTCTTCCAAGACAAGGTCACATAAACATCAACATTCAAATTTTATCACAACTTCAATAATCTTCTTATATTAAAGTAGCTTATCCTGATTTAAGCGTTTAAGGATAATTTCTCCTGATTAACTCCCCTGTAATGTTGGGACATAACCTTTTTTTCTTACTTGATTGATAAGTTCTGTCACAGTTGAAGAACTTCTCTGTCAATCAAAAAGTATTTTATCAAATGTGTTTATTGGCAGTTCTGACCCCTCCAGCAAACAAGAAAACATTATAGTTACATCAATGAAATTCAATTACAGATCTTTAATATTGATGTCTAACTAAATTTACAATAAAAACAATCAATTGTAAATAAACTGGTAAACAATTTTAACTTATTTACCCATGACCGTATACACAAATGGTCATACTTTACACTACAATCCAATTAAATATTTTTCAATAATTAATTAATCCCATTAACTTATGGACCATAATAACCAATAAATGCTGTGAACTTTACTCAAACAATGTCTTTTCTAATTGAGTGTCAGTGTATTTTCATGGTAAAAAAAAGTCATTGAACAAGTCAACTTTCAGGATGCGCAGCAAGCATTAAATGGAAAAATTTAAAAAATATTATTTAGGTTGAGTGTAAATGATCTCAATGGTTCTGATAATAAATGTTAGATCTTTACTCCAATTGCATACATAATCTTTATTCACAAGCAATCTAGTATTTTCGTGGAGGCCTTATGCAACTTCTGGTTAAGGTAAAGGAATCTAGTATTGTTTAAGTTACATTTTTCATTGTTCATAGAAAAATAAAATACACAATGCCATGCAATAAGTCAAACCTATGGGAGGAGAGAAGTATTAATCATACATGTTATGGACAGAGTTTTAACCATCATCTAATATAGTGCAAATACACTAATTTTAACAAAGCACCTATAGTTTTGATTTCTCTCTGGCGTATCTGTTAAGGACATTGGATATAATTGATCTGAACTTAGTTTACCTTCTGATACCTAAGTTTTGACACCTGTTTTCTCTCCGGGACTTCTAAATTATTTTCTGACTACTTGGTACATAATAATTTGTTATAAATAATGTAACAATGTTAACATAGCAATTGTTCATGAACATGCACTGGCAGGCTATCTGCATGAACAGTGGTGAACATTTTTCATTCAAAAGTTTACCAGGATGGATCTTACAGTTATCTCCCTTCATTTAGCAGAACCAGGATATATAATTATCTCCCTTCATTCAACACATACAAAACAAAGTGTACAAGGATGAATGTAACAGTTACCTCCCTTTGTTTAGCATAAAACCTTCATTTAACAAATACAAAACAGAGTGAACCAGAATAGCTCTAACAGTTATTTCCCTTCATTTAACACATACAAAACAGAGTGAACCAGGATGGCTCTAACAGTTATCTCTTTTCATTAAACACATACAAAACAGAGTGAACCAGGATGGCTCCAACAGTCATCTCCCTTCATTTAACACATACAAAACAGAGTGAACGAGGATGGCTCCAACAGTTATCTCCCTTCATTTTTACACATACAAAACAGAGTGAACAAGGATGGCTCTAACAGTGATCTCCCTTCATTTTACACATACAAAACAGAGTGAACAAGGATGGCTCTAATAGTTATCTCCCTTCATTTAACACATACAAAACAGAGTGAACCAGGATGGCTCTAACAGTTATCTCCCTTTATTCAACACATACAAAACAGAGTGAAACAGAATGGCTCTAACAATTATTTATTTAACACATACAAAACAGAGTGAACCAGGATGGCTCTAACAGTTATCTCCCTTTATTTAACACATACAAAACAGAGTGAACCATGGCTCCAACAGTTATCTTCCTTCATTTAACACACACAAAACAGAGTGAACCAGAATGGCTCCAACAATTATTTATTTAACACATACAAAACAGAGTGAACCAGGATGGCTCCAACAGTTATCTCCCTACATTTTACACATACAAAACAGAGTGAACCAGGATGGCTCCAACAGTTATCTCCCTTCATTTAACACACAAAACAATAAAGAAATTCTACTTCAGGCAATAGTTAATGCATTTCTTTACGTCACATGAGGGGGTGACAAGGGGATGCTCATTTCCCAAATCCGGCTTTTATGTAATTTTTCTCACCTCACAATTTCCCCCCTTCTTTTTCCAATATCCCACTTTTTCCCCCCTATATCCCACATCCCAAAAGCATGTAATCCCCACTCACATGAAGGCATGTAGGAATGTAGGACAATGCTGACTGCCATTCTGTGATTTCTGTAACAATAATGCTGACTGTATCACAAAAAGATATTGCACAATAAAATAAGGCAAAAACTGTCCAGTGCACATTTTCCTGTTTGTTTTATGATTTTCTCCAACATTAAATATATCTACGGTGATATTTGGTTGCTTTTATAGAATATTATATAATTCATTTTTTGTATCTGCGTGTTCAAGTGATTGGCATGAAACATGTGAAATGGCTTGAAAACATAAAAATAAAGTAATTTGTGACAATTCATACATTACATAATGACTTTAACCATAACAGCCCATGCAAAAAACTTCTTGATGAAACAGATAAACATACTTCTTTCAAACAATCATAAATCATTGAAATACACAACTTTTTGATCTGAAATCAGATGTAAACATCAGATACACCCATTATTTGTGATCCAGACCTGCAAAGCACAGCATGCGTTTATTCTTTAACAAATTAATGCCAACGTGTAACCATCGCCATCAACATGATCAACCGCTTCATGAAATATTAACAATATAAAACCTTAAAATATAAACTAATAAATTAAAACATACACATTTTCTAAACACTCCGCCATACTTCAACCAATTCCATAAAATTGATTCTGAGTTTTTGTTTTCAGATAAGAAGAGATATTTCTATCTCATTGATAAAGTTAATCACTGAAGTTATTCTGGCACAGAAAAGAAAATGGCAGCAGAAACTTCTGATAGTTTGATATTAAATCTAAAGGATGTATACAACATAGAATGTTTAAATGACTGTTTTTATTAAGTTGTAAGATCTTGTCCTGTTAATTTAACAGCCAGCATTCTATTGACTTTGATGTACTTCCTGTTGTATATTATCTTTACTACAATCATTTTAATTTTTTCTTTGCAAGAATGCAGACTTTAACAGGATATTAATTGTAGATGGGATTGTTAGGATAAGTTACACAGTATTTTATACAGGAAACTTTCACCTTTAGTATTAGAAATTAGTATTATCAAAGATTATACTGTAAGCTAAGAAAAAAATAAGGTAGCCATACTAGGATTAGGAACCCATTGATTTATAAATAATTTTGTATAATACAGTCCTATGAATAACTAAATGAATCTATTTGGTAGGATGAGAACATCTTGATGTGATA